CGCTCGCCATTATTCTCATTATCGTCTATTTGTATCGGGACCACGTCGATTGCACCCCTAGTTGGTTCACGCTCTAGGGGGCGTTGGAGTTTAACCCCCGCGTCTGCCTAGCCCGGGTGAGTTCAGGACAGTCTCTCATTAGATGCCCTCGGCGATCGCACATATAACATGTCCGGGGAGGGGAGGCGGCTCCGTAGCGGGTCCCCTGCCCGCTCCCTCTCCCTCCCCCAGTACGCAGTTGTCCCACATCGGACTCTAATTGGGCTACCCTCCCGACCAGCCCCCCTACTGTCGAGCGTAGTTCCCCCATCTCAGTCTCAACGGTAGACTGTAGCTTGGCCATTTTTCGGCTCATTTTATCGTCTACTTGGGATACCCTCTCACCTAATTGGGTTATCATATCTCCCATGCCGGCCTGTAACCCGGCTACCCACCCCGGGGTTGTCTCGCTGGGTCTCTGGGGCTCCCTTGCCTGTTCCCTTACTGCGATGGCGAGCTCCTCCTCCTCGTCTGAGAGTAGGCTCGCTACGGCGCACTCTCGTCCCCTCCCTCGAGGCTGCGCGCGCTCACCCGAGAGTTTCTCGCATTTACGCGCGCGCTCGACAAGGGTGTTAAAGGGGAGGCGTGCACCGTCTACATTTGGCTGCCACCACGGGGTGCGTGCCAAATATCGCTGGATTTTACCGGCGGCGAGGCCTTCAATTATTTTTGCCTCGTACTCCGGGTACGCGAGCTGGGTCAGCGTGCGTACGTCCTTGGCGTAATCTCGAAAATCCTCGCCGGATTGGCGGCGGCATGCCTCTAAGGCCGCCTGCGCCTCCTCCTCGTCATACGTGCCGAAGCGCCGTTCGAGTTGGCACATTAATTCCTCCCACTAAGTTTGTGCGCTTGCGGGCAAAGCTTCCATAAAGTCAGCTGCCCGCCCATCTAAATGTAGCTCTAACTGCTGCAATGCCTCCTCATCTGTCCACCCATTAACCTTTTTTGCCCCTCTGATGCTGCGGGCAAATGATTTCCATGATATAATTCCTTTGCCCGTAAATGTGCATTTTATTTTAACCTGGGTTGGGGGGCCTCTCTCCCTTGGGGTCGTGGGGGATCGTCCCACTTCTGACACCAATATGTGGGGGTCACTGGCCCCCGAGATCCCTCCCTCGAGAATGCTAATGGCCGGGCTAACATCATTACTCGCCCCCCCCGCTGCTAGGCGAACCGCTGCTGGGTTCCTCACCCAATGGGGTGGGAGCCGTCGCTCGAGGATTCCCCTCCACCGCGGGTCCACGTAGTAGGCATGGTTAGTTACCGAGTAGTATTACGTCCCCTTCACACTACCACGATACCTCCCTTTCCTAATCGCGCACCTGTATCCTACACGTAGCGAACATACGCCCACACCCACACACAGCTCCACACGCGACACCCTCTCTTGCGCCGCTCTGCGCAGCGCTCCCACGTGGCGAACCACTGTGTACGCAGCACCACACGCGTTCACACTTCTCAACGAGATCACATGAGGCCACGATCAGCTATTAATGATTTATTTTCGGCCACCTGGGAATTGATGTTAAATCAGTATGAATCGACGAGGCTGGCCTATTCTACTACCCCTGGACCTATTCCCTATTTATCGGCTTATGATACTAATTCACCTTCTTACTCACGGTTCGAAGTATCCGGTGTCCCGTGGATTCTCTTCGCTGCTCGTCTGGGCACGTCGCACGGACGTCCGGAGGGCAGAACTGGGAGCCGCCTTGATCGCTGGCTTCTTGGAGTGAGATCCCCTCTACCTTGCTACGATCCTATCCTATCTCACGGACTCTGGCCTCCGCATCCCCGAGCACTCTTCGCTGCCTCCCCCGTTCAAGCGGCGCATATGCTAATCAATCCCTTTCTCATGCATGGTGCCTTGGTTATGCGAATTATGCGGTGGCGTCCATCACAAAGGCTTGCCGTGGGAATTTATGCACGGACCTCCGCATACCTCCGCTTATTCGTAATTCCAGCCTTTACTCTTTAACTTCCCTAATTTCCCTAATAATTGTGCCTACGCGCTCAAGCATAATTATCCTAACCATCAGCGACTACGCGCAAGAGCCCCTGCGGTCATGCTAATCATGCCGTCCCGTCCCTCCCCTGCCTGCCTCGTCGATACGTGCGTGGGTGTGGGGGGTGCGTTTCAACCGCAGTGGCCGAGTGGCCCCTCGCCGCGACCTTGCAATCTTAATGCCGGTCGCAGCGCCGCGAAGTAGCATCGGGGGAGGTCGTCCAATTCCCTGGTCACCGGAAACCGTGAAAGTTATCCCGATAAGGGCTTCTCGGATTAAAACCGGTCGGCCAGGTGACTTCCCCTTGGAGTTCTATGGGGGGGGGGGGGGGGGGAAATGCGTGCGGGTGTGTTTATGTAAGGTGAGGTGGGGGGACGCGGGGGTCGGCTCCGTCACTTGGTGGTGGCGAGGTCGGGGATGGGGCGCCTGCCGAGCGGCTTCGTGGCGGCGGCATCACAATTGCATTATATTTCTAAGTTTACTAGGTTTTGTTTTCTCTTTCATTTGTACCTGATGATTGCTTGTGTTGCAATCGAAACGTTGTATGCTATTATTTAATTTATTATTTTCTCTTTCTACGTGACTTTACCGAAAGAACCAAAGAGTAATTCCTGCAGTCACGAAAGCGCCAAATCAAGTTTTAGGTATGTTCTGTTTACGTGGCAAACCTTACTATTTGGCTGTGTGGTTGGCAGGTTTAATGATGCATTTATATTTACGCCATATAACCCTAAAAAACTGTATTATAGACAAGCAATATTGTGTCACATGGCATGCATACAAACCATATGGATTCGAGTTGTGCCTTCCTGTTGTTTGTGAGCACACCTTTGTGTGTTGTAAAATCTGAGGTACATTTTCCTCGCCACGGTCCGGCTCAGGCTTGGCTCAAGTGAACCAAGATAAGTAACTTGAGTTGCCTCTCACCAAGGTGCCAGCCATGCCCAATATTCCCACGAGCTGAACCTGAGCCAAGCCATGGTTCTACGAGCGAGTAAGCAGCTCCGGCCTGAGCCTAGCCGTGTTGCCGGTTACGGTTTCTGGCAACGATTTGCCCTGAAATTGCTTCAAGACAGTGTTCTTCATTGCAAGGCCCGTGAGCCATTGGCGGCCCCTGGTGGCCTTTAGTGCGGCCTCTGACGTGCGGGCCTCCGACAATACACATGTGAAAAAGCAAAAAATGAATGCCCCCCCCATAAATTTCATTAAGCGGGTTTGATTATATTATCTTTGTAGAGTCGGCATGCTCTACGACAGGCATGTCCAAAGTCCGGCCCGCGGGCCAATTACGGCCCGCGGTCAGATTTCATACGGCCCGCAGCTTCGGTCTTATGTGTTATTTATGGCTCGCTAGCTCTGTCAGAATAAATAAATCATAAAACTTTAAAGATGTAATTCCTCCTTTCTCCAAATGGTGGCAGCACCATTCTAATGCTATCTGGCTCTGCATCCGTGCCGCGAACATATCGTCAGATATTCAGAGACAACTGGGGGACAGGGGAGTGGCTTTTGATTATTTCTCATTAGCCTGCGATGAAAACACCGATGCATCTGACACTGCACAACTACTTATTTTTTTAAGATGAGTTGATGACAACATGAACGTGACAGAGGAGCTGCTTGACCTCAAAGGCCTTAAAGGGCAAACCAGAGGAACAGATTTATTCGTTTCTGTTTGTGAAGCTGTTGATGATATGGAGTAAAGTTTCTGGGATCATTACCGATGGTGCGCCTGCCATGGCTGGTGAGCGAAGTGGATTGTCCACACTGATCTGCAATAAAGTCAGCGAAGAAGCAGGTAACGCTATTAAACTTCACTTTATCATTCACCAGCAGGCTCTCTGCACCAAACATCTCAAATTTGACGATGTTATGAAACCAGTGGCAAAGGCAATCAATTCTATTCGCTCTAAAGCTCTATACCATCGACAGTTTCAGCCTTTCTTGCGTGACATCCAGGCTGAATACGGTGACGTAATATATCACAACGATGTGCGGTGGCTAAGTCGGGGGTCCGCAATGCAGCGATTTTTCTCTCTCAAAGAGGAAATTGCCCATTTTTTGGGTGAGAAGGGACAACCAATTGAAGAACTGTCCGATCCTGTATGGCTGGCAAATCTGGCTTTTTTGGTTGACATAACGAAGCATCTGAATGCGCTGAATGTTAATCTTCAAGGAAAAGATGCAATGGTGAGCCAGCTATACGCTCACATCAAGGCCTTTGGAACCAAACTGCAACTTTTCCAAAGACACTTGTCCCAGAGCCCTGCACCGCGCACTTCCCAGCTTTGAAAGAGGTAATTGACAGTTTCCCACAGGACAACATCGGTGCGCAAATGAAGAGTTATGCAACAGCTATCGCATCTCTTTCTGTGGAATTTATAAAACGCTTTCGGGACTTTGCAGTTATTGAAAAGGACATGTTGCTTTTCTCTTCTCCCTTCTCCGTGGACCCTAACGATGCTCCTCCACAGCTGCAGCTCATTGAGCTGCAGTGTGACGATTAGTTCTCTTGTTGACTTTTACCAGCAGCTGGACAAAAGCAGGTTTCCAGAAATGCGGTCATTCGCTAAGAAAATGCTGAGCTTATTCGGCTCCACATATTTGTCTGAGCAAACATTCTCAGTCATGAACTTAAACAAGAACCGTTTGAGGTCAAGGATGAGTGACTCCCACTTGCATGGCATTTTACGCATCTCAGCCACTGCCCTCAAGCCAGACCTGGTCTCTTTACTGAAATCTAGATCTCAGTATCACCCTTCTCATTAGTGTCAGCAAGTTATCTGTTCCTTGATCAATCTGAAATTGAGTGTTCTGAACGGTAACATCTGTCACTATTAACAGTGAAAAGCCTAAAGCACACTAATGCACTTGGACTTATGGCACTTATTATTAAACTCTTGAATAAGATTTGGTTATAACTGTTGATGTTATGTACCTGTAGATGTGACACAAACTATTGCTTTCTGAAAGATCTTGTAAAAGACAAGGGCAAAATTCACTTGTTTTAAAGTTTAATGATAACAGACCGCTTTGCATTACTTATAACTCCTGTTTAAAATGTTCATGAGGCAAATATATTTAACTCATGGAAATTTAAGGTATTCTATACAGTTTGTTCAATGTTATCTGACTGAATGAAAGGCAGAATTGTGTTTTTAGAGTTGTTCACATCTACCTGAGTGGCTTATATTTAGTTACATTGTCATTTGAAAAATAAAGGTAATTGTAACAATGACAATTGTTTTATAACAGTGTGTATTTTCACGTAACTTTTGTGGTTAGAGAATTGTATTTTATCAAATTTGGCCCTCTTTGCAAAAAGTTTGGACACCTCTGCTCTACGAGGATTACAACATCGGCAGCCCACCGCTCACATCGTGAGGCGTTGGCAGACACGCAGCGATAATCCCGAGCGTGGTTTTCTGCATGATTGGCATGGTTGGCTATGTTCAAACGTACATACATACGTATTAATTCAACTTCGCAAAATGCCCACAATAACAATGTCGTCTATCGCTGCTTCCGCCAGTCGGGTCACGTTTGTTAAAATAAATTTTGATTTTGACCTAAAACAAGAGGACCACGGTGCATTTCTCCAGGAACTGCTGATGGGTTTTTTTTTGTTTCACACTCACAAAGACCTGTGTGCGCATTTCTACACAATATCTGTGTATTGTTTGAAAGTCAGGGGGCGGGTGGGCGGCAAAACTCTCGACAGAGGGAATTCCCAACCAGCGCAGCACGGCCTACAAAAAACACCCTTGGGTGAGGAGCGCCTGCGGAAAACGCAAACGTTAAATAACGCAGCGATGCCGTGATGCAGCGACTCCTGTAAACAAGCCTCAGGCAACGGCACGACAGACAGATGGAGCTCAGGGTAGTAATCAGCCTACGCTGTACTGTCACTCGCAGTAAACTCTACACGTTCGTCAAAAACACTGTGGCCTCAAAAGGAAAATGACAATAAGCGACGTTTGGAGCAATAGCCCTTCTTCACGTGGAATGAACAAGGACCACAGGCGACGTTTCGGGAAATGGACCTTGTTCATAGTGTAGGGGTGTCAGGGGAAGGATTCTTACCAATAGGAGGGTTAGTGGGACGGTGACAGGAGGGGGAGGGGTAATCGAGGAGATATAAGGGGAGAACTGACGGGAAGAGGGGAGCTTTGGCGGGAACGAGATTGAGACGGCTGGGGACAGGTGTGGATGGGAGAAGAGGAATAAAGGACGAACCCCCTGCAACCTTGTGTCGGCTCTCCTTTACAATAGCACAAGGAGGGCCATTGCCAAAAGCGTCGCCTGTTATACATATTTTCATTTTAAGGTAAGTGTTGTTGACAAGCGTGTTGAGTGTTGTTGTTATTTGTGCACCACTGTCAACGCAACAGCATCACCGAATAACAATGTTTAATTTGCAGACTCAGTAGAGTCACTGGGTTCGAGACGTTCTTGTGCTTGTAAACATCGCAGCTAGATGTAAACGTGTAGCTGAATTGAGTTCCGTTACTCTCGTCTGCCTCTTTCACAAATTGCTGGCCGTGATAAAAACGTTATTTTTGGAACTTTTGTTTAAAAAAACACACACAAATAAAGTTTATTCATTACACAAGACCGGGCATCATTATGGGCCACTTGGTAAAACACTGGCCGCAACTCTACCCACCATCGTTCACACAACTACTCACCATCGTTCACACCACTCTACTCATCATCGTTCACACAACTCTCAAGATCCTATTGACATTGCGGATAAACGAGAAATAAGGTCAAAGCTGCAAAGACCGGCAAAGTTATTCACGAGAGATTAAGAAAAAACATTGAAAAAAATCACACTTTGGGATGCAAGTTGTCAAAATATTTGGCCACTCTCTCCAACTTCACTCTTTAAAAAAACAAACACAATTGTATTCCAAGTCATGTATTTTGTTGCGACCTCTCTTACCTTGCAGATCAGCTCTCTCCATCGAGACACGCACGGAACATGGGTAACTCGCTGAAACGTTCCATGCTCCTGGTTTTAAGTCCTATGGTTCTGCGGAGAGTGAGCTTTGACCGGTAGGGAAGAGACAGGGAGCCTTCGGGAAGCTCAGAATCCTGAAAACTCCCCAATACCCCTCTGCTCCCCCCAACGCTCCCCCAACACACCGCCGCCCACTGCTTGAGTCGCCTTCCCAATCTAGAGTCTTCTTCATGGCGTGCGTTCTTCGCGGGCGCATGCGTGCAGCTTGACTGGAGGGGGTCCAGCAGGCTCAGCTGAACATCTGCGAGAGCCTGGAGGCGAGGAAGCCACGAGGGCGCGACTTGGCGCGGCCGTCAGCGAAGCAGTCGAGCACCGACTGACGGCAGTATGAGTAGAAGAGCTCCTCGGCGCTGCGCAGCACAGCTGCCAGGTCCAACGTGCCCAGCAGGCTGCTCACACGCCACGCCACGGTACATCGTTAGCATTATCGACGTTTGCTTGGTTAAGCTATACAACTATATATATATTTCGATTTAAAGCTTTCGTGACTGCAGGGATTCGTCTTCTTGGTTCTTTCGGTAAAGTCACGTAGAAGGGAAATAAAAAAAAAACATAATAAAATACAATTCTCACGACGTTTCGGCCACAGGTGACGCTGTCTTTCCGACAGCCCTGTTCTTCACCTGAGGATGGCTGCTTGCGTTGTGGCCGAAACGTCGTGAGAATTGTATTTTATTATGTTTTATTTTTATTTTATTATTTTCCTTCTACGTAACTATATATATATTTTTTAAAATACCACGTATGGCCCGCTGAGCTGTGTATTTCTTTTTCAGAAGCGACCTGGCTATCACAAATGATAGCTTAACGATGTGGCTTATCGTGTGGAAATTTAAAGCAGCCAAATACTCTAAACGTATGTTTATAAATGTGGGGGGGGGGGGGGGGGAACTGGAGGACCTGGAGAATAACCCACACGACCACGGGGAGAGACACACACTTCAAATATACAGGGGTCAGGATCGGGATCAAACCCACGACCTGTATATCTCACCACCTTAGTTTAACCAGGCTCACCGAAATGACAAATAGCAATCAGTGCAAAAAACAACTGCGTCACACACACGCGTCACAAACGGCGTGTAAAATCGAAAATATTGCACAAACGCGAATCGATGTTAAATAGTAAATTCCCTGCAGCGTCACGTCGGCTATAGCGGATTGTTCTAGACTGAAAATCGTATAATTACGGTTAAGTTTCACCGTGTCCATCATCATCGTCATCACCACTTCATATCGATACTGCGCCTGCCATACGGTTCAGCTCGGACACCCCCGGTGGCAGCTGTCCCTGTGCAGCACAAATTGAATGCGGCATCCGGCCTGCAAGCGGCCGTTAGTCTGCCAGTGGGGAGCGATTTTGCTTCGTGGTTTTCCCACTTTAGTCATTTGTCAGTAATCTATAAAATTTGTATCATGACGCCAGCACACATGGCCTACTTATCTTTTCTAATATTATCATGGGATATCTGACGGATAACTGAAGCAGATGGCATGTAGTAGTCGTAATAATAATACAAACGCAGTATTAACCAGGGCGGCCGCTGGCCTTCAACCACAAACCTCTGCATCAAGTGGCGAACGCACGACCGCTCAGCTCTACCACCGTACAGAAACTTGTACGTCCATAACAACGCGGCACACCCAACATACAGGCACACAGCATACACACATAGCATACAGATGCAGGACTTGAGAAACACGCGTCACGCGTTGGGTTGAGAGGCGTGCACGCGGCGGACAGTTAAGGCAAACGGGGACACAGGGCGCAGAGCGACTTACTGTTGTTGTACCAATTAAGGTGGCATGGTAGTTAAGGGGGGCCTGCAGGTGGCCGGGGGTAATCGAGGATGCAGGCTGGTGATTGGACGAGAGGTATGGGTGTCTGAAATTGGCGACGCGGTGTCTACAACAACAACACCACGTGGGACTGGGGGCTGGGGGCGAGTAGCGAAGCGGGGGATGGTCCAATTAATTAAGGGGAATTGGTTCAGGGATAAAGGCGGAGAGCGTGGGGAGAAACGGGAGTTGGTGCCTGGGACGAGTAACGAACGGATGGCGAGACGGAGCAGCGGACAAAGAGAGTATAGTATAAGGTAGCAGTGGACAAAGAGAATACAGAGTATGGTAGCAGTGGATAGAGAGAACACAGATAGAGTAGCAGTGGACAGAGCGAGTACAGCGTAGGATAGCAGCGGAGTAACGGGCCTTGGTGGAGAGAGCTACGACGGAGTGGGACAGCAGAAAGAACAAAGAGCGACCGAGCTGGAGAGAGAGAGCAGAGAGGAGGGTCGCTGGAGGAGAGGAGCAGAAGGAGGGGGAGTTGTGAGTTGAAGAGTACAGAGGGACATTGAGTGATGCCGACGGAGATGTGAAACTATACGAGTTAATAAAGAACCGAGAAAGACAAAGAAGCTGTCACGTCAGAACGAGTCCTACACATACACAGCATACAGGCACACAGTATACACACAGCATGCATGCATAAATACACACAGCATACACAAAGCATACATACATACATAGCAACAACAACCGCCATTCGCCATTCAGTAGCAGTGACGTCACCACGACGCTTGTGCCAGGCTATGTGCATGTTGAGGCCACGTGCAGTGTCGAATGCCCGCTGGCACGAGGTCACGGGGCAGACTCAGGTGCCACGGGTCGACTGACTGAGATGAGTGGCTGATGCTCCACCTGTGCCCCCTACTGTGCCAACTTTCTGTGCTTAAATAGCCACCCGGCACTCCGCTCGTTGTGAGCGTCACTCCTCTGCCCTCCTTTGTTGTTGGAGGGCGACTGCCTCCAACTGCCCACTAGCATCCTTCACGAGCCTCCTCCACAGAGGCCGATCTTGACACCGCTGATACCAGTCATCGGCAAGTCCACTCAGCTCCACATCCTCCTGTACCACATCACTCCATCTCTTCTCTAGCCCATGCCGCGCCCGTTGAGCCCCCTCGATCCGGACAAATAAAAGCTGTTTAGGCATGCGGTGGCTGGGCATGCAGGCTACATGCCAGAGGAGCTCACCGATGGGACTTTGTCCAGATCTTTCAAGGATTTGTGAGCTTCTCACACAATCCAGCCTGGTTAAACCCAGGATGGATCGTAGGCAGGCCAGCCTAAATCTTTCTAACCGGCGAAGATGTTCCATTAAGGGGGTCCACGTTTCGCAAGCATAGAGAAGGGAGGGAGTGACTGTGGCTGAGAAGACCTGAAGCTTCGTGCAGAGCGACAGACTAGGCAGCTTCCACACAGTGTTACGCAACCGATGAAAAGATAATGCCGCTCGACTGATTTGGAGTGAGACCTCTGCTGTCAAACCGGAGCCAGTCATGAGCACACTGCCCAGGTATGGGAAACTCTCCACTCTCTCCACAACTGCCCCATCACCGAATTGGGAGTTGTGGAGGTGGAGTGTCTGATTGTACAAAATACCCAGGCAGGTGCTTAGTTTTGGTGGGGCTGATGGTAAGGCCCCACCTCTTAGTGGCAAGCTCCAGGTTCAGCAGCATCGCCTCCAACTCCCCCTCTGAGTGAGCAGCAATTACCAGATCATCGGCATATGTAACATGGTTGAGCAATAGGAAGCCATCCCTTGACTGCACCTGGGCATCGATCAGCCTCCCATTGTATCTGTACCAGATGGAAATTCCTCCGGTACAGCTCCACGAACTACGTGGTCGAAATAGATGTTAAATAATGTGGGAGCCAGAGGACATCTCTGTCGCACCCCAAGGTGTACAGGGAATGACTCCGACTCCTGGCCACGGAGTGTTACCTGGGCCCGATCACCATCATGAAGGTCCTTAATGATCGTGAGCAGAGGGTCAGGGACTCCGAAAGCACGAAGAACAACCCAGAGCCCAGGCCTACTGATGGTATCATAGGCCTTGACCAGGTCAATAAAGCAGAGATGTAGGTCTTGTTGGAATTCCCTATACCTCTGCTATAGCAGACGGACAGAAAATATGGCATTTGTGCAGGACCACCCTTTCCTGAAACCACATTGGGGCCCTGCAAGCCTCTTCTCAGCGTGCCTAGCAAGGCGATGTTGAATAATCCTTGCCAGGACCTTTCCCGGCACACTGAGGAGTGAGATGCCCCTGTAGTTGTTGCAGTCTGTGCAGTCCTCCTTGTTAAAGAGGGACCCTTCCAGTGGTCCAGACTGCTATTATGATGTCATGTAGGGCAGTCTGTGCACAAACGCCAGCCTTGGTCAGCATTTCGCTTGGGAGATCATCTCTGCCCGGTGACTTTCCTGTTCTTACTCTGGATCGCCTTTAGTACTTCCTCAACAGAAGGCACCTCAGCCAGCCACTCACAGGGGGTGACTTCTTCCAATATTTGTACGTCCATAACAACGCGGCACACCCAACATACAGGCACACAGCATACACACATAGCATACAGATGTAGGACTTGAGAAACACGCGTCACGCGTTGGGTTGAGAGGCGTGCACGCGGCGGACAGTTAAGGCAAACGGGGACACAGGGCGCAGAGCGACTTACTGTTGTTGTTGTACCAATTAAGGTGGCATGGTAGTTAAGGGGGGCCTGCAGGTGGCTGGGGGTAATCGAAGACGCAGACTGGTGATTGGACGAGAGGTATGGGTGTCTGAAATTGGCGCCACGGTGTCTACAACAACAACACCACGTGGGACTGGGGGCGAGTAGCGAAGCGGGGGATGATCCAATTAATTAAGGGGAATTGGTTCAGGGATAAAGGCGGATAGCGTGGGGAGAAACGGGAGTTGGTGCCTGGGACGAGTAACGAACGGATGGAGAGACAGAGCAGCGGACAAAGAGAGTATAGTATAAGGTAGCAGTGGACAAAGAGAATACAGAATATGGTAGCAGTGGATAGAGAGAATATAGATAGAGTAGCAGTGGACGGAGCGAGTACAGCGTAGGATAGCAGCGGTCGATACAACTGAGCTACGACGGAGTGGGACGGCAGAGAGAACAAAGAGCGACCGAGCTGGAGAGAGAGAGAGCAGAGAGGAGGGTCGCTGGAGGAGAGGAGCAGAAGGAGGGGGGAGTTGTGAGTTGAAGAGTACGGAGGGACATCGAGTGATGCCGACGGAAATGTGAAACTATACGAGTTAATAAAGAACCGAGAAAGTCAAAGAAGCTGTCGCGTCAGTACTGGTGTCAGAAATAATCAAAAGGACCACGCCGACATGTCGAAGAAAGCAACGAAAAATAAAAACTTACCGGCGGGCTCGTCGGCCGACAGCAAAGACGCGGATGTGATACCCCCGTCAGGGTTGGAGGCTCCCGCTCCCCCTGCAGACGCGGCTGATGGGGCGCCGCCGTGGGAAGAGGGCGACCCGAACGACGAAGATGAACCAAGCCCGCCTCACGTATGGAGAGCTGCAATGGC